ATATGTCTATCTATATGCATTTATTTGCCTATATCTCTGTCTACCCTGCCTTCCTGTCCTTCTCTCTGTGTATCTGTTGGCTTGTGTACTGATCTTTCTATCTGTCTGTCCGTTCGACTATCTACGAAATCATCTCTGTCTACTTAATCATCTGCCAGTCTGTCTACCTACCTGCCTGCCTGCCTTCTTGCCTGTGCGTCCGTCTGTCTGCCTGTCTATATGTTGGTCAGTGAACTTATTAATACGTCTGTCTGTCTGCCTGTCTTCCTAAACATCTCTCTCTCTCTCTCTCTCTCTCTCTCTCTCTCTCTCTCTCTCTGTTTTATTATAGTTCTGGATTTTTACTCTTATTCCAATTTTCTTTTCCTTTCCCACATTCAGAGAGATGTTTCTTTGGGTCGTGGGGAGACTTTGGACCATGCAATAACGGCGTGACCACCAAGCATCGGCCCTTGCTGCAGGGCGGCGTAGAGTGCGAGAGGAAAGCCGTGATCACCAAAGCTTGTGAGAGGAGTGAGAGCTAGTGTGTGCGTCCGTGGAGCGAAGACCACCACCGTGATGGGGTGCTGAGTTGTCACAGCTGTGCGTTGTTGTTTTTTTAATTCATTAATCTCGGAGTTGTTCCTCGTCCTAACTCTTTCTGGATGTAATTTTTATGGGGTTATGTTTACAAATGAGAGGCTCCAAAGCTATGCTGTCGGTGATAGGTCCTAAAAGAGTCAAGAGTTTGCACATACTGAAAGGCAACTATGTACAGGGGATACCGAAACTGAAAGTTTTTTTATCTGTGCATAAATTCAACGTGAGCTTTGGACTGCACTCTTTTCTTCTCTCTATAGAATTTGCTGCAACTGTTCATTTTCAAAACTTGTCTCGATGGAACTGCGGTTTTATTATTTTTTAGATCAAACATATTTATAGCAAGAGTGGTGAATACATAAAACTTACTCTGAAAGAGCTAGAAAAAAATAGAACAACTATTTCCATTCACAAAACTTGCCTTATCATCTTATTGGTTTATCAGTTATGAGACATATTCATTCATATACTTAGAGTGTCTGTAGAAATCAAAACTACAATATCCTCCAGTGTGTGTTTTTTAATGAGAAAAAGGAGAGGAAACTTTAAAAATTAAAAATTCACCTTATCTCACTTACAGCCTTTATGTGTGTCAGAATGAGAGAATGATGTGTTGTAGAGAGAGAGAGAAAGAGAGAGTGAGAAAGAGAGAGGGGGGGAGAGAAAGAGAGAGAGAAAGAGAGATGGTATTGAATTGTTTCCTGCTTTTGCCTGCAGGTCTGAATTGAAGCAAAGTACGTTTGGAGTTCTTCTAGATTCACATTTGGAGCACTTCTTAATTCTCCACAATTTTTGTTTTTGTAACAGTGTCTTGTGTCATTTTTGTCTTTTTTCCTTCTTTCAATCTCACTCATAATGGCATTAGGAATACATTTTTGTTTAAATACATAAGATTTAATAAGCAAAATGAATAGATTTTTTGGGAACCCTCTTTTTAATAAACAAATACGCTTGGGAGTGTATATCAAAGCAATTTCTTATGTCTGTGTTATCAGATATCAAGTGGGATCCATCTGGAAACATTTTTGTTACTGTAGATTCAAAGTGTCTGATTCTGTTGCTTTCTTTCTACACGTTTCAGAAAAATGAAGAATGCAGAAACTGTTGTGGTATTTTTCTTCTGTTCTTCTTGTTCAATTCTTGTGGTGTAAAGCAGTTTATATATCTTAATAATATGACAGATCCAGTTTGCATTAGAAAACATTTCAAGCTATGTTTGACCTGACTGGCTATCTGTCCCTACCTTGCTGTAGCCAAAGTCTACCAATGAAGAAAAAAAGTTGCCTATGTTTTGTTTTAAAGTGTCCTTTTCTCCTTGTGTTACACGATTTTTAATGATATTCTCCATGTCTGTGATTTTTGTTGTGTTTTTCGTGACAGATACAGTTGCTGTTTTGTATTCTGGAAATCCTCAATACCAGTTGTTCACATAGCTCAAATGTATTTTCAGACTAAATCAAAACCTTTAAGTGGCTGTAACCCATCTCCTGAAAGAAAATTTATCAAACTGTTTTCTCTTGATTCAGTGAAACCTGCCTTGTGGTATGTTCTACAAAGTGTACTTTATTTATCTGTGACGAGATGATTGAGCTATTAACCTTGCACGTTAAAACATGAGCCTGTGTAGGGTAGGTCTCTTATCTAGTATCTCTAGATTTCTGCCAAGAGGAAGGCCATCTCCTAAATGATCTAAACTGTTAGACACGGAGGCCAAAAACAGTTGCAAGCAGTCTGAAAATGAGACGGCATGGGAAACACTTTCCTGTACTTGTGTTGTCACGTACAACCACAAATGTGATATGGTGTTATCAGCTGTGCTTGATAGAAAGATTTGTATGTGGTAGTCCAACCTTAGGATTTGATTTTGAGCTTGATTTGCACTCTAATATAAATATACTGGTATATTAATTATAATTAATTAACATTAGAAATCTTTATCAATATCAATACCCAGCTGACAGTACTTACCGTAAAGAAATCAAAGATGTGAGGAAAAAGTACAATTTCCTTCAAGGTTTCAAAGAGCTTGTTGTTTGGAACAAAATGCTGGCTATTATGATTTTAGCGTTTGGGTGCAGGATATGCAGGCATGTATGAATTTTGAAAAGTATTTAAGTACCGTACTTAAATCAGTCCCGTAAAGTTGAAGAAACAAAATTCTTAAAATTCTTTATCTTCTTTCTTACTTCATTATATCTTTATTGTATGTTTGATCAAATAATATTGTGTAACTAATGTAATCAAATTTTCTGTGTGTTTGCCCACATATACATTGCCTCTTGTATTCTATTTGTGTAAAGCAATTGCTGTCAAAATGGCAAAATGTTGTTATAAAAAAATGTGTAATCATTTTTTGTATTTGCTTATTTAAAAAATATTTTGATCATGTATGATATGGTCTTCAAAATAATTCCCACATCTTGCATGCTTACTTAAATTTAATGATCTCGAACTGTCTGCAGGCTTTTCAGCCTCAAAGTCATTGATGCCAATTCCTGTTTGAAAGAGCTGCAAAATAATTCTGATGGTCAGTGGTACTTGTCAGCCTAAACCTTGTCATTTTTTTTGTGTGTTCCTCTTACAGCAGTTATCAGTTTTCCTCAAACTACCCTCTTCTTGTTCCAATGAGGTCATGTTCTAATACAATACATAGCAGATTTGTTGAGAACTTTTTTGTGTAACGTGGAGAATTTTTGTACCTTTGTGTTTAACAGAACTACAATTATATTTACCTTTCCTGTAGAATGGTATGGAATGGATGACTTTAGCTTCTCTTTTAGACAATGGGCTTATTTAGAGTAGATTAGAGGCATTCGTGAGAGTTTAATAATATTATGGTGGGCCGATTTGTGGGTGAATGAAATGTGCACATTTGTACTTCGTTACAAAAGTTGAATTTTTTTTAATATGTGAGTAGGTTTTCTTTTAAGATAAAAGGTTTGAAAACATTGTGGAGTATTAATGTACCTCATGCATCAGTGGTGGAGTGGTGGAGTGCTATGGCTCTCATGTGAAAAACTTGAGCTTGTTACCCACATAAAGAAGATACTTTACTGTCCCCGTCGTTTTATGCAAGAAAAAATCTCAATTTATGCAAACTGAGCCCAAGAATGTGAAATTATGTGAATCTATTAATTTTTTACAGAGAATGATAGAGGAAAATAATCAGAAATTATGCAAAAAATTATCAAAATTTTCTAAATTATGCGGAGACAGTACTTGACTGTTTTGACCAAACACATATTCAACTCACACAGAGCAAACACACACATAGTAATCAATTGATCTTCAGGTTCTAAATTTTTCGTATACAAATAAATATCTTGCTATTTAAAACATGTACATAGCAAAATTCGAACATAACCAAAAGATTTCCGAATCCCGCCGATTTCGTTATGTGTGTGCGTGACAGCATCAAATTTTCTTCTGAGATGTCATATCTCAAACAACAAGGTTTCTCTCTGATGAGCAGAATCAAAACAGGCCGTCTCTTAGATGATCAGATCTATTTTGATGAAGACATGGAACATCTGTAATGAATTTTTAAAAACCAGCCACTTGAGGAAATTGTTACTATTTTTTCCTCATTTTCCGTATTCCACTCTCCCTCAACTAATGCCATTATGAAGGCCACAGTAAATTTTAAGTTACAACCATCCGTCCTACTCACAATGACCTTTTTTAAAAATAGGAGGCATCGTGGTGAAATCAGGCGCTCATCTAAACAACGGAATTGAAGAAACTGACATTTTTCTGCCAGTTTGACTATTTTTATCGAATATTTGTTTTTTGGCTTAACACCACTGTAATCCAATTAAGAACCCATTTCTGCGTGGGTTTGACTGTAAAACCTTGATTAAAAGCGCAAAGATGTAAGTTTTCAGTTTCCATGGACTATCAAGCTACGGAAATGTCCAAACTTTGGCGGCCATTATCTCACTAATTCTACCTTTGAAACCAGATGACCTCACCTCCTTCAATCTCAAATACTTTGACTTCTATTCAAGATAGATGGGCATTTTTTCCCCGATAGCAAAGCAACTAAACAAGGTTTCAGATGATACCAGTACCTTTACCTGCCCTTGAGAGTGCCTGATTTCCGTACTTCATGACACAAATAACTTTGTTGACATTAGTCTTTGTGGCTTCAGGTGAAAGTTAAGAGAGATCTTCAAACAGGTATAGAATTCATATTTTGTCATCTCTAAAGACACACTATTAACTCTCAACTTACATGCTAAAATCCTTGATTTTAACTGGTATGGAAAAGTTTGTTAACTAGATTGTAATGTTAGTCAATTTCTATGTGAAATGGATATTGAGTGAGGAGGTCCTTCTTTATATAAAGGCTGCATCGTATTGAAAGAGTTGTAACGATATTTGGAGTCATGTTTGCGTTCAATCAGTTATGGATGCAGTTACGAATCTACAAACTACAATCTGAGAATTTTTTAACTTTTTGATAACGTTTTGGCATAAATTTTGATAAAAGTGATATTGCCACTAATACTGAATATCTGATTATATGCAATACGATTCATACTCAACTCACTCAAAATTGTTTTCTTGTTTGTGGCCAATTTCTGGTTGTTTAATGTAAAGGATACAGGATACGTCATCATTTTCGTTTTCCTCATCGTTCTTATTTCATCTAGCTACGCTCCTTATTAATGTTGTTATTTGTTCCAAAGCAACCGTTCTTGTTCAAAACTCTCCATTTTACCCCTATATATGTTATATATATATGTGTTTCGTTATTGTAAGTGATGGCATCAGGATTCAGGACATCCTTGCATTTCTGTTTGAAGCTTTCATATTGATCAACCGTATACCAGTTACATATTTTTTCTAGGCTGTTTTGGACTAACTATTATAGTACTTACCAGAACTACTGATTTCTTTTCTTTAACTACATCAATCTTTTTAATGTACACAGTCTAAACGTAGACTTATTTGTGTTTTTGTGTTGTGTTTTCCCCACGTAAAAAATAGAGGATTGTTTGTCATTCATTTGCACACCGTCATTCATATTTTATGTTTTTATACCTACATTACCGCGCATTGTTTTTTGAGTCAAGTTCAGTATTAACTTGTTATTTCATTTTCTCTGTTGTTTCTGGTAAGTAGTCTTTTCTTATCAACTTTTACTTCAGCATGTTTTTCTGTATTTTTTCTGTTTCATTTCTTCATCTGTCCCAGGTAAATTCATGGCTAGAGAACTAGTACTTTTGTATTTCCCGCCCATTTCATTTCCTAATCTGTCTACTGTGAATTCTTGTCTAAAAGTCTGGCTACTTCATCGAAAATGTTATCGTCATATTGTTCTTCAGTTATTTTGGATGCCAATGATCTTGAACTTGAAGTCTCTCGTGTGATCGTCAGTGAAGTTTTCTGTGTTCCCTCGTGTGATGGATGTTTCTGTGGATTCATGAGGCAGTGGAGATGATGGTGACTAAAGTGTGGCGAAGAAGCATTCTCAGTTTGCAGCTACTGATCTGAGATGGTGGAGTGAATTTGGATCTTTACAAATTGTTCGATGAATGAGCTTATCTGTTGCTCCAGTGTGAATTTCATTTGCTTTAGGGCTTCTTTTTTTTCGATAATCTTTCTCCTTTAGATATTTTCTATTTCTTCCATTTTTACACCATTTTCATTTTCATGGACTATTTTATACCAGGTCTCCTTCATTGCACAATGTTCATCATACTGCTACAACTTTGTGTATTTTCCTGTCTCTTACTTAGTTCATGTTGTTCATCTGTTGAAAGTGTCTTGATCTTAGAGACTTATATATTCAAACAAAAAAGGGGCTAAAAAAGCCATGACTAGTTTAAGCTTCTTGTTTTAAAAAAAGAACAGAAACCTTCGTTGCAAGAACTCTATATATTTATATACACCCCAATAATCATAACCTGTGTTAGTTCGCTACAAGTGTGTAAATTTGACCTGGACAAAATGAACTTCAATGTTTCCCTGCCTTATTTCACAAGCACTTAGGCCAAAACCTTGTCTGTTTGCATTGTCGGTCGCGTAACCTCACTCCACACTTTTTTATTAAGTTTCAGTGACTTATGGTAGATAAAGAAAACAAGATACTTTTATCATATGTAAATATATATCATAT